TTTCCCCCAGTCCCATGGAGCTCCTGCAATTAAGCCCCACTGGCCTTCAAAACCAGATGTTCTGGGGGCTCCTCTTCCTGATGCTGGAACCCCAGGCTGGGAAGCCTGGTGTGGGGCTCAGAACCCTCTCTCCTGTGTGTGGGCCTCTGCAATATAATTTTTCTCCAGCTTGTGAGTTGCCCACCCAGGGCCATGGGGCCCAAGTATATCTTAAGTGCACCCCTCCTACCATCCTGTAGCTTAGCCTGTATCTGCAATGAATGCATCAATTGCTTCCCAGCTGCCTCTCACCACCACCTTCAACATTTCTCACTCTGTTGCAAAGAAAGTCCGTTTCTTTGGAGAGAAACTTGGAGCTTTCTGTTCTCTGGTCTTCTTTCTCTGTTCTCTGCTGTGCTTTTTTTCCCCAGACAAAGATCTCTGAGCCACAGCCTTGGTCCTTGGGGTAGGGACAGTGACCGGCTTCTCTTTCTCTCTGAATGACACTCCTGCATTTGGAGCTGAGTGCTCAGTGGGGTGGTAGGCATCAATTTCAGAATTCCTCAGGCTGCTTCTCTTGGCATGGAAACCTGTCCCATGAGAGGGGACAGGGGTGACCAGGTATTTGCAGTATTCTCAAGGTAGAGCCTCCATTCCAGGAATGATGATTATGAAGAAAGGAATCCACACCTTTCAGCCATTCTCCCCTGGAACTTACTCTTTGCAAGAAGAGACTAAGAAATGCTGACTTCTGTCTCTCCCAGGAAGAGACAGGGAGCGGGGGTGGGAAGGAGCCCTGTGCTCTTGGCTGTCCCGAGTCCAGACTGAGGCGTCCATCTCACTGAGCTGGGAGAGGGGTAGTCTTGACGAAAGATCAGCCCCCTTCCCTGATGGGCTGAATAATTCAGTGACAAGGTCTTAGAGCTTAGAAGAAAAGAGGCAGCTTTATTGCTGTGCCTCGCAAAGTGCCTTCAAAACTGTGAGCGCATCTTGGCGATGGGGGAGAGCGATCACATAGCCATAGCTTAAACAATAAAGCGTTGATAACAATCAACAGAATTAACTTTCTTCTCATAAGACTCAGAGTGGCGTCATGGTGTCTCCAGGGCACCAAGTCTAGAGAGCCTAGTGGCTGTCATTCTTCTCATCTCTTTATCTTGTAAGTGCCCAAGGCACGGTCTTCTTGGTCATTCAGGCTGTTTTGTAAGGTTACAGTCCCGCGACCTTCTCCCTGGAGATCAACTCTGAGACCAAGCGTGATTATTACTTTTGATGACTGGAATAAAGTAGAAACAGTGAGATCAACAGCTTTAGTTTTAACAATGGGCCTGGAACTGTGAGTAGCCACCGGTCAGTCAGGTCAGTTGACCGTTCTAAGGGCAAGCATAACAATAAGCAATCTGTTGGCCTAAGTGCAGCCACTTTATTAATCCCCTTTCACTAGCGCATGGCTCTTGGTTCAAATATTGTTTGAACTGTTTTTACTGAATTTTAGTAGGTTTTCTTGAATAACTGTTTCTTCACTTACTGTATGTCCTTCAGGCCCTTTGTAGAGACTTACCTTTACAAGTTAGTAATTTTCACTAGTTTACTTGTCTGCAGTGTTTTTCACACTAGTGTGCTAGAAGTAGAACTCTCACCTGGGTGCCACTGTAATTTGGTCTCAGGAGTACCCAGAACCTCCTGGACCCAGGGCATGATGATTACACATGAG